AGCGCCACCTGCCCCCTCCCTGGCTCGCTGTCACCCCTGGCGCGGCTCCCAGATGCCCCGGGCTGAGCCTTGGGCCATGGGCAGGGGGGTGAAGGGCCTGGAACCCCCACCTGCAAGGGCGTAGATCCTGGTCCCAGCCCTGCACTGCCCCTCTAGTGCTGCGGCGTGTCTTGAGCCCCGCGGGGGTTCCAGCCTCAGTTTCTCCCAAGTTACCTGCGGCTAAGGCAGAGGGCAATGCGCCCTCCCGACTGGAAAGCTCAGGGCCAGGGGGAATGAACGGCAAAGCCAGACCGGCATGGGGGGAAGGGGTGCCAGGTTGGAGACCTCTTATTTATGCGGGATCCCTCAGCAGAGGGAGGTGGGACTGGTGCTGAGGGGTCCCAGCCCTGTCCTCCCTAGGGCCCCTGGGTGACCTTGGACAGGTCTCATTGCCTCCCTAGGCCTCAGTTTCCCTTTCTGGGCAGCTTTTGGGGTTGTCCCCAGAAGCAGGTGTCTCCTTGAAGCTCCCCCAAACAACTAAGGCTTGCTGTGTGACCTTGGGCAGGCACTGAAGTTTCTGTGCTGGCAAGCTGGGCCCACTGGGTTCCCTGTAACTGGAGGGACGGACAGGGGAGGCTGGACGCCCTCCTGGTGTCCTGGAATTCCCCCGCCAGGCCGGGGACAGTGCTGCATCCACCCTGCTGCTGGGGGTGGGGTGCGGACCTGGCCTCGGGGTCCCGGGAGCAGGGTCCCAGGAGGGCTGAGGTGGAGACATAAAAACCTCACCTGGCAGCACCCGAGGGACAGGGGCCGGCAAAGACACAGGACAGAGGCTGGAGAACGTGCGGGCTGGGTGCAGGTGGGGGTCCCCACTGCCCCCCTGGGGTCCTCTTTTCTTCCTCGTGCCCTTGAGAGAAGTCTGGGACCCCTTCAGGTCCTCTGCAGCCTGTGCTTGTCCCTTACAGGCCCGGCCTGCTCTGGGGTCTCCGGGGGGTTCCGAGGACCCCACAGGACCTCCTCCACTTTCTGCGTCAGTCTACCCAGCCCCTCGGCTGCCTGGTGCCTGCCATGCTGGTCCCTCCTGGTCTTTATCTCTGTCTCCTTTCTCTGCGCCTCTCCGATTGCTGTCCCCCCCCCCGCTGTCCCCTCACTGTGCTGTCTCTGTCTCTCAGCTCTGTCTCTCCGTCTGTCTCTCTGTCTCTGCGAGGCTGTATCTCTCGGCTAATTTTACAACCCGGGTCCTCCCTAAAATAGCTCCCTTTTTAGCTGAGCTGACCCGGATCCTCCTGGGGAGCCCGGCAGACCTGCGGGGGGCGGGGGTGGCGCCTGGTGCCAGCTCGCC